ACGATGCGGAACACAAGTAGTCAAAATTGGCGCGATAAGAGCGACACGATACAGAATTCGCCTCGAGATTTACCACCGAGACGTGACGAAAAGTAACTACATACATTTCCATATTTAATCATCTCATCTCGACTGCTTTGCACGCTGCTTCGTTAATTTTAACTAAATTTAAATTTAAATTCAAATTACTAGGCGAGACGACACGAAAGATGATCGACTTCCATCGAAGCACGACGAGAGAAGACGACCACCGGAAGACGATGGATGGTCACAGGTGAACCGACGTTAACATAGAAGTCGACAACAAGAATCTTTTATGCACTGTTCTTGAAGAATAATAAACATTGCTTCTATAGATTCTATAGAAGCAATGTTTATTATTCTTCAAGAACAGTGCATAATATACAGTTAAACTTTCGCCTGAAATCGATAGGCCCAACTCTACTGTTTTGTGCACCGCTTCATTTATTTCCGAACATGCTCGTAACAGAGAGAAAAAGAAAAAAAAGCACAAAGATCTATGGGTCGTAGCCAATTCACGTACGTATTATGAAAGAAGACGAATTGTAATATTAATAGTCGACGATAAGATTGAGTTTTTATGATTTTTGTAAGCCGTGCAACAGTTTTCTAAATCGATTACACTACGGTATATGTATTAGACTTGTAAAAAGGAAACAAAAGCAAAGAAAAAAAAATAGTAGAAAGCTCGGTAGACACAGTATACATATAAAATATGAATCAATGTACAGAGCAGAAGGGATGGCGAATTGTATAAGTGATAACGATATCGAATTTGCTGGGCTGAACCTGTTGGCAAAGGTTAAAAGTCTCAAAAAGAAAAAAACATTAATAAAGTTTTCTTGTATCCTAATTCTTACGTTGATGTTTTTATAAAACCGATATCATGTGATATCTTCACCTTAGGAAAAATACAGAAAAAAACGAATTGTGTTACTCCGAAAGATCTAATACATATAATAGCAATCTTCCGCACACATCCGAGGCAACGATTTCTAGCCTGTAAAATAATGAAACAAAACGTAAGAGCAGACCTCTTTATTATGGTGAGAATGAAGATCTACGCATCTTATCCATATTGTCTTTTTAATTGTTTTATTACATTTATGATATAGTTAATAACTAAGATACTACGTAATAAATAAATCGCTACAGAGTATCAAACTCCGTTTCTATTTACAACCTATGAAACTTAAACAAAACATTCGTGAAGTCTTAAATTAAGTCGACGATATTTTGTATCAATAGCTTCGTTGACAAATGAATGAATAGAAAACAATCGCGTTATTTATTGTCTATTTCTTTCATTTATCTAAACTGTAAACTATTTTCCTTATTAAAAAAAGAAGAAGAAGAAAGATTAATTTGAGAATTAATAAATGCGTGTATAAAACTGGATATGTTAAACGTGTGGAAGATAAAGGAAACTACTAAAATTATTTAGATAACATGTCGACCAACGTGAACCAACGACGACAGTTGAAATACACTATTATTGTAATAGAACAAATTGCGATGCTATCGATATATTTATATCTGTAATCGAGACACTTCTCGAAATTATTACATGAAAATATATAGTTCAACACCATAATATAGTATACACTTTGTCACATGCATACTAAACTTGTTCAAAACGTTCCGAATCACGCGATATTACGGTGCAAGCACCATAACTCCGTGTAGAAACGATCAATTACATGGCCTGGTTTCTACTCTCGATAATTTCAGCGGTCTGAAAAGCTCGGGGTCATATTTTTCAAATAAAACATTCAACCGGAAACTGCATTCTGATCAGATAGTTACAGAAACTCGCGTTTCCACCTTTACACTCGATTTGGTCAAATTTTGCGCGATGAAATTTACGTTTGATTTATTTTTATACGTTTCAACAAATTCGTTTAAAGTTTAAAGTTGAATGTTCTTTTTTTTTTTTTTTTTT